TTGTAAGCTTCATTAACTTTACAGTGTTCTGAGAGCAGATCTGTGAGAAAAGACAGGAGATTGGCTCTTGAGACAGCCAGTCATCAAGTATCATCGAAGAATAGACCCCAACCATTCATGACTGCCCCACCAGAGGAAATTTTTGGGATTAAAGAGGAAATGTCTTTAAATAACAGTGTATTGAATACAGTACATTGTCTTGCTTTAAAAAAAATGGCAGACAATTTACCTTTTATATACAAAGGAATGTAGAATCTGATTTCTAAGGCACATCAAACATCTTATGATGATACTGCGGTCCTCCCTTTGTGGTCATAGATTATGAAGAAGGCAGTCTTTAACTTTAGACACAAATCCTGGAAACCTTGTTTACTAGGGTAGAGTTGCCTGCTCTGCGTCTGTCCATAATGTATTTGGAGGAACATGGAGATTGGTTGCCCTAAGCAACCAATCAGAATCTATTTTCTTTGAATAGTCTGGACTGAAGAAAAGTGAAATCTCTTTGCTGCAGGTTACTATTGGGGTTACTGCACTTTGTCCAACATTACTCTGTGTACCTCCTAAATAAATAAACCCCATTATGTAGCTGATGGTTGCTGCTTTACAAATGGACAGGAATATCATCTTTCATAGCTTCCGTCTCCCTTACTAAGATAATAATAAAGGTCAGAAAAAACTGTGATGCAATAAAAGCATCAATACCGTTTCAGAGAATTACCTCATTTTCCTTAGAACGTATTGCGTATAAACTTCTGTTTTTTGTTGTTATCTTGTATAGATTGCCTATATTGTAAAAGCGCTGCACAAACTGTTGGCGCCATATAAATCCTGTATAATAATATAGATTTAATTTATCTTTACCAAGAGCCATGCAGTTCTAAAAAATGTTCTACCATTTACTTGTTTCAGAATCCTCACAGAAGCAGAAATTGACGTTCACCTTGTTGCACTTGCCGAGCGTGATTAGCATATCGTCTGTTCTGACAAGTGTCTGAGTACATTTGCCTGCTGTTATTCCCTCTCTATTTTCACGTCATTCATATATCATATTATCTGTACCAATAAAAAAAAGTGTTTTTGAACATAGTTGTATGTGTGTTTATTGTAGAAGATCACAAGGAGAAGCAAGCCCGTGATTTCATATCATTCAATCTCATTTTATATCAACATCATCGCACATCAAAGAACTGGATTACACAGGTTGGTTGGTCCATCAAGTCCTAATAGGTTGGACTTGATGGACTAATGTCTTTATTCAACCTCAAATACTATGTAACTATGTACTATGTAACTATGTAACAGTGTTATTTCCTGTATATTTGTATACATTTACTATAGATGTGCTTTAAAATAATGGGATTCTAACTGATGCTGAACTGAGATGCTGCTATGCTGGCATTTTGGCCCCGGTGCCATTCAGTGTAGTTGTTAGAAAACTGTCCAAGTACAATCTGTGATTCATCTCAATGCACGCAGTGATAGCAGAGTGGTGAATGGCTGGCAGATGGACACCCTCTTGCCTTAATACTCTAAGGCACTGGTCTGACCCAGCCTGGATGTATGGAGATAAGGATTTCTGACTTCCCTGATCTGCATATTTTGTTCCAGCACAGTAACTAAGACATTGATTTGGCTGGTGGTTTAGAATAGTAATCGTTCAACTAGTATTAAGAGGTCATCAGCAGCAGTATCTATTGTTCTGATGTGCCCTTTACATACATTCCCCACGTCTTGCATAATATTCAGGATATAATTTTGTACCTCGTTTCTGAAATGTGTCCATGCTGTTTTTGTATTTTCTCAATGCTCTGTCTACTTTGGGCTTTTTTGCCATATGAGTAAATTGAATTTAGTCAGGTCAGTGCTGGTCAATGGGGAGGTGGTTGTTTGTAAAACTGGCCACTATAAGAAGTAGGACATGATTTGCACACGAGCCCCCAGACTGGAAGTGCTGTTAGACAATAGACATAGTGGTACATTGGGAGTTTTATCTGCCTAAGCTACCTTGTTCAGTGATGATCTATTGAGCTGTAAGTATTCATATGTTTCCATGTATGACTTTTCAGCTCCGTGTGAAGAGGGAAAAAATATTTTTTTAAAGTGGCCATCAAGGCACCAGAATAAAAGATGCAGCCTATGAAGAGGATTTGCTGCACGTTGGTTACATTATGTAGTAACATGACAGGGAGGAGATTTGCTCTGCAAAACGAGCATGGCACAAGATAGTACTATGCTGTCCATCAGCATCCATAGACGGAGGGAAATGTGCCAGTGTCGCTGAGGTGTTCCATCTTCCATGTACACTCTGAGCAATTGCAACTGAGGGGTTCCATGTACACTGTGAGCCACTACAACTGAAGAGCTCCATCTTTCATGTACTGTGAGCCACTGCACCCGAGGGGTTCCATCTACACTCTTACCCATGGCAACTGAGGGGTTTCATTTACCTTGTACACTCAGCCACTGCAACTAAGGATTTCCATCTCCACTCTAGGCCACTGCAACTGAAGAGCGCCATCTTTCATGTATTGTAGTTGCAATGTCTTCCTTATATTGTACATCGCTGCACAAACTGTTGGCGCTATATAAATCCTGTATAATACTAATGTACTCTTACCCACTGCAACTGAGGGGTTCCATCTACACTCTTACCCACTGCAACTGAGGGGTTCCATCTACCTTGTACATTCTACACTCGGAGCCACTGCAGCTCCGAAAGTGGGAGAATTGCTGCCATTTCATTGCACTACCACGCTACTGTTACCCTGATTGGGCCACGATTTAGTGCCTGATATAGTAAGAACGCTGGCTGTAGAGGATTAATACTTGAAAAGTTATTTTGATTAGGAGACAGGAAATGAGTGTGGAATTGCCCAAGGACAGAGTGCTACTAAAAATAGGGCTTTTCTTGCCATGTGTCTATTTCCTGGTAACCACATAGAAAATAAAGGGAACTATATTGCCCAGGAACACACACTAATAAAACAATATTCTAACCCTTCCCAACTCTTATTGAAAACCTGATAGCTGAATTCCCTATTAAAACCAGTTCCATGTGCTAGCACACTGACACTCCATCTAGATATTAGCAAGCAATCATAATAAATAGACGAGTGATGGCAAAAAATGTGTTTTGTTTTGTTTTTATTCTGATTTTTTGTGATTCGGGTACGAAAGTCTATTTGTTTCGGGATTCGGATTTGCACAAAATCCAAATATTCATTATTAACTAATTGTCCCCCCAGAAGTCATACCAGGCCCTTTAGGTCTGGTAGGTATTAAAAGGGGGAACCCCACCCCCAAAAAACAAGAACACAAATGTGGGGTCCCCCTAAAAGTCCTACCAGACCCGATCCAGGGCAGGAAAGGTGGGGGGCGATTGAGCGCGCCAGGCCGATGGGGACAAGGGCCTCTTTCCCACAACCCTGACCCGGTGGTTGTGGGGGTCTGCGGGCACGGGGGCTTATTCGCATCAGGGTACACCTTTTAAGGGGCAGACCCTCACAACCAGGGTCAGGGTTGTAGGGAAGAGGCCCATGTCCCCATCGGCAATAGGACACCCTCCCAATGCTGAGGACACGTGGCCTGGTATGGTGCAAGGAGGGGCGCTCAATCGTCCGTCCCTCCCCCCTTTCCTGCCCTGCCGGGCCCAGGGGCGGACCTTCTGGCGTTGCGGCCGCCAGGGCCCGAGGCAAGTGGGACCCCACTGACAGAGGCAGGCTGGGCAGTGTGTCAGGATTTCTCTTAATGCCCTGCAGACAGCCGGCGTTGCGGTAGCATACGGCAGGCAGGGCAGCACGGAGGCTCCGGGGCTGTCAGTCTCACTTCCAGTAACGTAGGGGATTGCTGCAGGGGCCCATATACCGCCTGCAATGTATATGCCCCAAATACAATGCAGGCGGTATACAGCACACACCGCTGGATCACCTCTCTTATGATGGGGACACTGTGTCACATGCCCGCCCCCTTCAGACAGCGTGGCCAGGATGGTGTCGGGCTCTGACGGCACTGCAGTGTATAGGGTAAGCCACTGAGTGGTTGGGGGAGCCCAGAAACTGCACACTGGGTGCTGTGTTTTCATTTAACCACCTCCAGCGGGTTCACGTAAATGTACGTCATCTGCTGGAAGTGGCCTGAACATGTATCAAGAGCATGGCTGCTGCTGCAGGCAATTGCTCTTTAAATACAAGTGATCCGGCATCTTTACAGGTGCCGGATCTCTTGTACGATGTGGCGGCATGTGTCCCCCTCCGTCGGCTTCCCGGGCTCCACTGTCCTCCGTGTGAGCCCAGGACCGGCACAGCACATACAACGCAAACACGCGTCGGATGTACCTACGTGCAAAAATAAAAATTGCGGCCCACATGTTACATATTGTCATGAACGTGAGAGCAATAATTCTAGGCCCATTAATCACTGTTAACACTAAACTGATGAGCTGTAAAAGAGTTTAAAGCGTCGCCTAAGGGAAATTTCGGTTATTGTCGTTTTTTGTGGTTTCACACAATTTTAAGGCTTGACATGTTTGCTATCTATTTACCCGGCGTGACCCCATCTTCCATATTTTACAAAAAAATTGGGTATTATATTCTGTTTCTGTGCACTGAATTTCATTTTAGTGTATTTTATCCTAAAAATACTTGTTTGATAAACATTTGTGCAAATACCGTGCGACGTACAAAATTGCAACTAGCATCTTTTTATTCAGCAGGGCCTCAGCTTCCAGAAAATATATAATTGTTTGGGGGGTCTGAAGCTGTTTTCTAGCCAAAATTCAGATTTTATCATGTGTGTGCGAATGTAAGAAATTGCTCTGGGCAGCAAGTAGTTAATTAGAGAAATGGAATATAATAGGGAACATTACACTGTAATGTTCCCTATTATGACCTATTTCTCTGTCCCAGTGTTGAATGAAATATTGCAGTGCAGAGTCCAGTGCGTTGCCAAGTGCTAGAAGTGTGAAGATGAAGAAGAATGGTGGTGGGCGGGGGGGGGGAGAGTTCAATAGACTGTAAGCTCCTTTGGTGCAGAGACCACCGGAGGGGTTGGGGGGAAATGCTCCAGATCCTGTCTGCTCCAATTTTGATAATTTCCCCCCTATAATGTTTATTTTGAGATGTTTCTAGTGTAAGTGTCTGAATTTGTCTGCATATCATCTTCATGAAGTTGTCTGTAGCGCCGCACTTGATGGAGGAGCATTAGGAGCCAATGACATCCTGCTGCAGTGCATATGTGCTGACAGGGAATATGATGGTAGGAGAAGAGTTGGGGGGGGGGGGGGGG